TCCTTGGAGGGCCGCTAACTACAGAGACCCCATGGAAAGTGGCTCAGCAATGCCCCCCAGCCTTGCCTACTCATTGTGGGAGCCGTAACTGAAAATTGCAAGCATTTGATTTCTTATAGGATACAGTGTGTATATGTGTGTGTGTGTGTGTGTGTGTGTGTGTTGAATTGGTGTTTTGGTTGCTGCCACCACCAAGTCTACTGGCCTAAAGCAATTACCATTTTATTAGCTGTGGATTCTCTGAGTCAGGAGTTCCACAGGGCCCAGGGGGTTACTTGTCTGCTAAACCCAGTCTTGATATCAGCTTGGAAGGCCAGGGTAGCTGGAATAGTTTGGATACTTCAGCGGTTGAGCTCAGTTGAACTGTTCACCACCAGGTGGACCTCTCAACTTATCTTGGGTGTTTTAGAGTGTGGTTAGTGGCTTCTAAGAGCACACAGGTCCCCAGAGACCGTGTGCTTGTGATCCAGCCAGGGAAGTCACACAGCGTCACTTTGGCCACATTCTGTTGCGTAACATGAATAATAAAATCCCACAGACTGATGCTGGGGTTAAAGCTGAAGGTCAGAAAAGCAAACCACCAGCTCTTACTTCTACCTCAGACTGAACGGGTGACCCATGAATCCTCAAGAGTGCAATGCAGACTGCACTGCTGCCCACCAAGTCTCAGACTGTACTCCTGACCTCCTGTCTCCTCCTGCCTTACACTCCTCTCTCTGCCCAGCCATATCACTCCCGTGTCCACCTCCCTAGTGCTGGGATTAAAGGCACGGGATCCCAGGTGCTGAGATCACCATTGTGTGAGCTGTTTCTCTTTTAGACTGGATCAGTTTCTTGTAGCTCAGTGTAGCCCTGAACTAACAGATCTGTCTGCCCCTGTCTTCCCAAGTCCTAGACTTAAAGGTGTGTACCACCACTGCCTGGCCCCATGGCTGTGGCTAGCTTTGCATTTTCATCCCCAGTAATAAACAATATATTATCATATTGTTGGCTATGGAGACTCATGAAAGGTGAGTCTCCCCTTCTCTACCATCTTCCTCTTTAAGCCACTGTCCACAGTCCTCAAATCCCCAATGCCTCCTCTCAATTGTTAGACTCCAAATCAAAGCCCCGTGTTTTATGCTGTGTTACAACATAACTTTACTACCAGACACCAACTTCCCTGTTAGGTTTCTCTTGCTGTATCACAATCTGTGCCAAATGTAGTAGCGTCTACCAAAAGTTGTTTCCTCATGTCCACAGATTCAGTGGGTCAGGGGCAGGAATTGGGTCAGGAAACAGTGGGAACAACTTGCCTCTCTCCATGACATCTGAACTTCAGAATACTTCGCAGCCGACATGACCTGGATTCTGGAGATAGTTTAACTGACCATGGGCAGTTGATCTGGAAGACTCTTCACTCGTGTCTTGACAGTGATGCAATGGGTGGGGCAGGCTGCAAGGGCAGGCTGTGAGGGAAGGCCTTGCATGTAAACATGGCCTTTTATTTTCATAACTCCTTCCTTCTTCACATTTTTCCTGCTGATTGTATGGTTTTTCATTTTGTTTCATGTGCTTATTGCTTTCATAGTGGAAAGCTTCCTTCAAATGAAGTTCATTAATGCATATAAAGTAGAAAAGAATATGAGCTGCTCTTCTGGCATCCCAAGGGAAATAAGCGGCACATGGTACAAAGTCAAAAGTTCCAAAGTGCATACAGTGAAAACCGTGTCTCCTCTCTCCTCTCTCAGCCTCATACACGCCTTTCCAGAAGCATTCTTGTGGCTCTCCCCTTATGTCTAGAGATGTTCTTCATGGCTGCAGATCCTTATATTTATACACAGGCATCTGTCTGTGCATTACCACAAAACAATATCACAACATGTACATCGTGTTGTAGACCAGAAGTTCTCAACTTGCGGGGTGCATGGGGCTAGATATTGGATATCGTGCATATCAGATATTTATATTACAATGCACAACAGCAGCAAAATTACAGTTATGAAGTAGCAACGAAATAATTTTATGGCTGGGGGTCACCGCAACGCGAAGAAAGCATTAAAGGGTCACAGCTTTGCGAAGGTTGAGAACAACTGCTATAGACTGCCCCCTCTGTTTGCATGTGTATAGTATGCCTGTGTGCACATGTCCATGCAAGTGTGCCTACCCATGCAGACACAAGTGGAGGCCAGGGGTTAATGTCAGGATGTCTTTTTATTACACACACACACACACACACACACACACACACACACACACTTCAAATGCTTTTAAGACATTTGTTTTACTTACAGGTGTTAAGCCTGTCTCTATAATCTTCACTTGTGTACCAAAAGCTGTTGTATTGAAACCATTGTTGCCTTATTAAATAAACTACTTTTTAAAAAAACATTTCATTGATGAGATTTACAGGAAAACTAGAATTCTCACATCAACTAGGTATTATGAACTTTTAAAAAGATATGACAATGCCATAATTTTAAGAAGAGCCTTTATCTTTTTGAAATTCCTACTTAAATATTTACTGATTAATTTATATGATATCTAGAATTTGACCCAAAAGAATTCTGAAAAGAATAAGCAGATATATGTACAGTGAAATAGTATCAGCCACCAGTTGATAATTACTGAAGATACATGTGAGTACATGGTATTCTGTCTATTTAAATGTGTGTTTGAAATAGACAGTGTTAAATTTGTATAGTAGTTGCCTCTTGCCTGTGATTTTATTTACTCTGGTTTCAGTTGCCTGCCATACTTTATAGTACTTACTTGGGTACAATGACATATTTCGAGGGATTGAATGAGAAGAGACCATCTAGCATTTCTTGCAGTGTGTTGGTAGAAGTGTCCTAGTGTGTTATCAGTTGTCGTAAATCTCTTACTGTGCCCAATTTTTAAATTAAACTTCACTGTATGGATGTATGAATAAGTCAAAACAGTGCAGATAGAGGTCAGTGCCATTCATGATTGCTGGTCTTGGGAAGGGAATCCCATGGATAAGGGGGAGTTACTACAGCAAGCACAAGTTCTTATGCCCTGTGTTTCAGAAACTAGATGCTTTACAAGAGCAAGGGGCCTTGTCTCCTGTTCTCTTGGTGTGCGGAGTGCCTGGGACACCACACTCACATGGTGGAAACTCCAAACATACATCCCTAAATTTAGCCCACTTGGTCTTCCCTGGAGGCAGCCCTGCTTTCTGTTCTCAAAGCAGCAACCCCAGGGATCCGCACTGGGGGGAGCTGAGCCACAGACCAGGTGCTCTGGGCTGGGAGGAAGGTCAGTGGTGCTTCCTGAATCCTTGGGAACTGGCGTTGATGTGCACAGACAAATAGCACCATCAGTCCCAAGAGAACGTTTCTAAGCAAAACAAACTGGCCCCTTAAACTGAACAGGAATTGTTTTTTGAGAAGCTTATAAGAGAACTGTAAAGCACAAGAGGGAGGATTCCAAGGTTGCAGGAGGGTCACAAAGTGGCTTGGAATGCCACAGACCTCGTAGCTCTGTCTGAAACCGTTCCACGCAGACCACAAGTTAGATGAGTGCCCAGAGTGTCATTCCTTCCACGAGAAAGACCAGGACGGCAGTATAAGAAAGAGTATAAGCCAGAATCGGGAAGAGATCAAGGGAATGACAGCAATACTGGTTGACATGTTGGTACTGTAGGTATATTTGAGTGATCAGCTCAGAGACCAGGAAAAGAATGCCATTTTTGTTTTGATTGTTGTTGTTTTTTGTTTTTGTTTTTGCCAGGGGAGTGTCAAGACAAGGTTTCTCTGTAGCTTTGGAGCCTGTTCCTGGAACTTACTCTGTCAACCAGGCTGACCTTGAACTCACAGAGCTCCACCTGCCTCTGCCTCCCAAGTGTTGGGATTAAAGGCGTGAGCCACCAATGAGTAGCCCTTTTGCCCTTTTTTTTGGAGGGGGTATGTGTGGATAAAATCCACCATCTTAATGTTGGCACACACACATTCTGGGTTAGTTGCTTCCTATCTGGAAGGGAAAAATGGTGTGGGAGGAGCTAGTCACATCTTGACTAGAAGGCTCCTTAGAGGAAGTTCCATGACAACACTGTTCAAACTCTCCAAATGTGCCAGGTGGTTGCTGGGGTAGCACATGCCACCAGCTGCCCATTGCTACAGTTGAAGTCTCTCTGCTGGTGTCTCTATAGCACATATTATGGGGTGCTGGTTCTTTTGATGTTATTTAGCATTTATGTGTGTCACTGTAATTATAAACCATAAATATACGTGATACTGCACGATCAGTAAAATTGCCGAGCTTTCGTTCTGCAAGGGAGGAAGTGTCGTCTATTGCCTGAGAGCATTCACCTTCCAGTCTTTGTTACTGTCTCTCCTTTCTAGCCCGATGCTCACCCACCCTTATACCTCCCACACAGCACAGACTCCTGGGGCTAATCACATATATTGTAGAGCCCCAAGTTTCTGAGCATGCCTGGACCAAAAGCCAGGGGGGAGACAATTCGGGAGGATCTAAATTAAGCCAAATGATTTTATTTGACAACGTAACAAAAGTGCTTTGGAGGTCATGCAACAGACAGGTGTACCTCGTAAAAGGAGGGAGGTGAATCGGAGCGAGTCAGCCTCTTTTCAAAGAGATGTGTTCCAAGAGCTGCTGCGTTTCTTTTGGCTTTGAAAGAGGCTGATTTGGAGGCATTCACCTGGGAGGCAGGCAGCACTGTTGGTTACTGTGTCTGAGCTGTAGGCACTCACTTGTTCTCAGGTGCCTGTGTATACAGGGTAGGGAGAGGTAAGAACCCTACCATTCTGTGAAGAGGCTGGGTGGAGCTCTGCCCTGGGCTGAGGACAGGTTCAGTCTCACCCAGGAAGCCTCATGCTGAACCCCACATAGAGCCCCAGAGAGTGTGCTTCCTGGCTCTATAAATAAAAGACTCAGGTTTCCTGACACCCAGGGTTTGTGTTCTTTATCTTGTAAATAAACCGTCTGCCCCAAGTGAGTGAATACCACCTGCATGCTGACTTTACAATTTTGTCTTGCAGAAATACCGACAGTATATGGCCGGACTTCTGGCTCCTCCCTATGGCGTTATGGAAACGGGCTCTAACAATGACAGTAAGTGTGAGCATTTTTGTATCTGAAAATTTGTCGTCGTGTGGTGTGTGTTTTCATGTGACAAAAAGAAAGGTATGTTGTACAGGACAGAGGAAGCACCCTGACTCTGGTGTGGGTCACAGACCACAGACCGGTAGCTCACACTGGAGAGCCTGCACTTGTGGTCTGTGCCCTGTCCTGGGGAGTGACTGGCTCTGGTGCAGACCGGGGCCTCCCCATACTGGACATCCACATGCTTGGAATATTTCTGTGCCATTTTCAAAATGGAATTCTTGAGCTGTGTTTGTCTCAGCTACATGGGGGGGGGGCTACCAGAGAGCCCCATCTTCTGTTCACTTTAGCAAGAGAGAAGCAGAGGTCATTAGTTCTTTAAAAATGGCCATTTCAGTTCCAGAGTTTTGGTAGGTACTAGGTGCCCTCTCACACAGGAAGGTGATAGGTAGCTTAACTTTGGTATTTACTTCACACACACACATGTGTGTAGCCAAGTGGCTTGGTATACATGTCCATTATGTACCAGCAAAAAAAGAAAATCAGGCTCCTGTAAGAGACCCAACCTTGGCTGAGATTTAAACTTGGCTGAGAGTGGGGCACTTGTGTGATACTGTTTTAAGGATTGGTTTTATTTTTATGTATGTGTCTGCGCACAAGAGTGCAGATGTCCTTAGATCCCAGAAGAGGGCATCAGACTCCCAGAAGCAGTCGTGAGCCATCCGACTTGAGCACTAGGAACTGCTTCAGTCCTCTGGAAGAGCAGTACATGATCCTAACTCCTGAGACATCTATCTCTCTGTTCCCTATCCCTCCATCCATCTTCCTAGGTGTGTGTGTGTGTGTGTGTGTGTGTGTGTGTGTGTGTGTGTGTGTGTGTGTGTGTGTGTGTGTGTAGCTAAGTACCAAGCATGGGATATCCCAAGTTATGTCACTTTGATGGCTATGGCAGACAGCATTTCCACCGTGTCCCTCGTCCTTTAAAGGCATTCTCCAGTGTGTCAGTTTCTTCAGGGTTCCTTCCCCTTCTGCTCCAACTCTTTCTCTATAGACACCCCCACCCCCCACCCCTGCCACATTCTCCCCACATTGGCCTCCTTGAAGACGAAGACGGAGCAGAAAAGAGGGATATCAGCCCTTCCTCCCTTCCTTCTTCCCCACCCCCCCTTCTTCTTTTTCCCTCCCCCTCTTGGCTGAGCTGGAATAATCAGTTCACTAGGAATGTCTGAGTTAAAAACAAAACAAAACAAACAACAACAAAAGCCACTAGCTGTGTCACCTCAGGCAAGACACTCGGATGCTTTGTACCTCAGTTTCCCCTAGGGTTCTCACGAGTATTAAATGAATCAAGATGTGTCATGTGTTTAAAAGAGTGTCAGGCATTATTTATGCATAAGGCATTCGCTGCTATGTCCTCACCCCTAGCCACTCACCAGCCCCAGAAGTCTGGCTTCTGCCCCCATACTTTTAAAGAATTACTCCACAGTCAGCCATTTCCAACAGACTCAGTGTCTCCCATTGCTCTTGTTAATTTAATGACTTTCTGGCCCATTCTCCCTTGGATCTCAGGGCTTTGTTGCATGACCCTCGTGTCCCTGCCTTACTCTCAACACCTGCAGCTGACTCTTTCACAGTCCCCCCACTTTCTCCTAGAAGCTTGGGAACCCGGACTTGGCGCTCTCTCTGTCCAGACTGTATCTTGCTCCATTTCTGAGACTAGCCTACCTTGCCATCTTCTTCCCTCAGCCTCTTTGGTACCTAGGATTACAGGTATACAGCCCTGCCCCCCGGCTATGAGGCCTTTTTGAAAAATAAAAGTTTTTCCATGTGTTTTCAGCATTTCAACCAATTGAAACAGCTGTCATGATTTCCCTTAAAAATATCCACTATCAAGTCACTATTCAGATTCCCCAAACATTATCTTTATCACAATTGCTGAACTGGACGAAGTTAAATGTCAGCCTCTGTATGTGATCTTGGTGCCTCTTTAAAAAATAGAAAGTATTATTACATTAGTTAGTTTGTTTGCTTGCTTGCTTATTCTGTGAATTTTTGTGCAAGAACATGCCATACCACATGTGTGAAGACCAGAGGATAATTTGTTAAGAGTCATCTCTCTCCTCCCACCATGTGGGTCCAAGGGGCTGACTCAGGTCAAGCTCGTAACAAGAACTTTCACCAGCTGAGCCATCTCACCACCCCTTTTATTGAGATAGAGTCTCAGTAAGTACCCCAGGCAAGCCTCAAGCTCATGATCTTCCTGGCTCAGCATCCTGCATGCTAGGATTACAAGTGTGAAACACCAATACATTATCTTTTAATTTTGAACCACCTCTTTTCCTCCTTTTGGCTGTGCTTATCCCTCTGTTGTATATAGTCTTTTAATGATGGCCGTTGCCTTCCATGGAAGGTGGTAGTCCAAGAATCTTCGCACCTTAGCCCAACTGTCAAGACCCAAATGGGAAAAAATTCGCCTTTTCATAGTAGCTTCCCAGAGGCATCCTAAGGTCCAACATCCATACATAGCAGTCTATGCAACCATGTCTTTCAGTTACTGAACAATTTAGGAAGGCAGCTGAGTGTACCCTGACTCTCCTCAGACAGTCCACCCCAGGGCTACGAGGCAGTGGGTGGGTGCAGGATGAATTTCAGAGTGCTGGCACAAGGCCACCTGGGTCCCTGTGACATATATTTTGGATGCTGTGGCAGCCATGCCTATCAATACTCCTGCTTCCTGCCTGAGAATTTGTATCTTGAGACTCCACAGATTAAAGGAACAAGGCTCCAACTAGACCAAACTTTGGAGCGATCTCTTCCCAGCTGAGGCCTCTTGCCTGCCACCCTGATGGCCTCTCCATTGTTTTAAGGTTGATGAGGTAGCAGTTGTGTGTGCATATCTGGAAACGGTGTCCCATACACTTAGACTCTGGACACACTGTGGTTTTGTGGTGCAAACCACCTTACACTAAACCACTGGTTGGAAGCCACGCAGGAGACCCTTCTGCGCTGCCTTTCTCTCCTCATGATGTGCCTGCTGCCCCGAACTTAGTGAGCTCTGCTGAAGATGTGGCTTGCCACAGTTGCCACCTTAGGATGTCCACCAAGAGAAGAGGACCAGGGGCTGCCTATGGCAGATGCTCCTGTAATGCTTGTAAACTAGTGAGCAGATGAGGACGAGGAAGAAGGGTGCATTTTCTTAGCTACAGGAACAGAGACAACCCTCGCCTTGAAACAGCAGCTGCCGTGCTTAGGCCTGGCCTGAGCATGACAGGAAGGGGCTTTCCTCAAAACAGAACTTGTGTTCTGGTGTGTTTCCTCTGCTGCTTACAGCTGAGTTCAGATCACTGGGGCAGAATGAGGTGGAGAGACGTGCATGTGTAACTAGAGAACAGATCTATCCGTCCACCATTCTGAGTGTGCTGGTGTCCAGTCAGAGGGTTAGCTGCTTGTGTGGTATAAATGAGTCACAGGGAGACTTTTACCATTGGGAGGGTAAAACATATGGTGGACACAAAATAATTCTGGGTTTTGTTTCCTGGACACAGAGCTCCATTTCCGAGGCATTGATTTAGAGTTATGTGTGGGTACTGATGTCTCTCTGTGTAAGCTTCTATGAGTGCCTAGACAGAAAACATGATGTTCCTGTAGCAAAGGATTTTGTTTCCATTGTATTGGTTGATCACACAATTTATGGCCTCTCTTGTCTCTCTTTCCTCCCTCTAGGGATTCCCGACAAGGAGAATGTGAGTAGCTTCTCTCTCTCTCTCTCTCTCTCTCTCTCTCTCTCTCTCTCTCTCTCTCTCTCTCTCTCTTTCTCTCCCCTCTCTCTCTGTCTAGCTTCTATAAACTGTCATAAGGTAAACCATAACCATAGTGATCTTCCAAGCAAAGGAAGCTCTCCATCCACAGTCAACGGAACAATAAATATTCTTCTAATCTTATTGTGGCACCTTGGGTGAGTCATTTAAAATACCCAGGAGAACAGGGTGACTGCTTTAACATGATTGTCACATGTTTCTGGTATTCAGTTTAAAGAGAGGTTATTCTAGGGTAAAGTGTGTAAGTGCTAAGTGTTCTTTTTTTCCCATGGTGCATACATGTCAATAGAACAAATTATCATAACACTGTGAAGAAAACCAGTTGCTTTTCCTTAATGGGAATGTAAATGGTGAAAATCAGGGTCCGTTGACAAATTTGCCTAATTACATCCAAGTGTGCTAAGGTTGGCATTTCTCTTTGGAAACGGGTGATGGAGTGCTATAATTGGTTTCTGAAAACAGGTGAGAGACTATTTAAGACCCAGCTTCCAGGGCGGTGTGGTGTTTTAAAACTTTAATCTCAGCACTCGGAAGGCAGAGGCAGGAGGATCTCTATGAGTTTGAGGCCAGCCTGGTCTACAGAGGGAGTTCCAAGACAGCCAGGCCCACATAGTGAGACCCTTCTCAAAATAAATAGATAAGTAAACAAATGAAAACAGGCAGAGTTTCCACCACCCATGGCCAGTGTATATGCTAAGGATGGGATCATCTTAGCCACATACTGCTCATGTGGGTATTGATGGTGTTAATTCTATTAAATGCACTCTAGGCTTACACCGCAACATGGAAGGCTTTGTGATAAACACGCCTAGGGATGATCATGGTGATTGGTGTTTGGCTAGAACTCAGATGCACCACCTTACAATCCTGTTCCTGATTGCTATACCTACGCGGCAATGTTACTGAATTGCTATGCTTCCCTGTCTCTGCTCTCTGTCCTGCAACTGTAGGCCTATACAGATTTATTTAAATTCAAGTTATCCATGTATCCCTTTTCAAAGAGCTGACCCTGTAAGTGATCCTCTTTTCATAATGCTGGCTTTTGAAGAGCTGGCTCAGCCCTACTCCACTGCTCTAACACACCAGACAGGAGTTCCAGGCTTAGCAATACCACTTTAAATGTCACACCAACTTTCAATTTTATTTAGTTCAGCAAAGCATGTTAGAACCCAGCTATGGACCGTGTACAAGCTGATTTGTTTACCTAAACATCCCTGTCTCATTTTTAAAACGTGGCTGTTAGTCATGACTACCTCAAAATTCTATTATGAATATTGAATGAGATTATTTGTGGAAGGCAACAGAGCTGAGAAATGTTAGGACTATTATTGTAATTAATATTTGCTTAAGGGCTGTATCATTTTCTAGCACTGTATCGTTTTATCTCTGGAAAGTGTCCTCACTTCTAAAGTCACTGTTGCTGTGTCTTTTGTGGCCCTCCTTAACTTTCTTCTGTGAACCTTGCTGTTTATCTTTTGCTGTTAAAAGCAAAAACAAAACAAAAAACAAGTTTGTATGTCCAAAAAAAAAAAAAAAAAAAAAAAAAGACTGCTAGAATTGGACTCACAAGATTCACAAGCAGCAGACTTTCCTGTCAGTAGCAAGCTGATCCTGCCACCACTTCCGTATTCAGGAACCCCAGAGCATCCACACTGTACCTACTAGTCTGCAGATTGTGAGATGGATAAATCAAGATGGGAAAACAGCCTGGAACTTCCTCACCAAAGACAGCTGGGGATCTGGAGAATAATACAGAGAAAGCCCGAGCCTGGAGGTGGGTGGGTGGGGTTAATATGGTCTAAGCTTCAAAAGAAAATTCCATCACTTTTAGTCTCTGGGTGACCTTTAGGTTTGGAGCCCCCTGCAGTGGGAGCCGCAGGCACAGGGCTTTGAGCAGAGTACCTAACAGCTGTTATGTACTCATCTCCAGACAAAATAGGAATCTAAGTTCGCAGAACCTTGGTGAACTGTGAGCAACATATTGCCCTGAAAGATTTGGGGGCTGGGCAAGCTGACACCCCAGAATTAGTGCTGGCAGATCCTCACTTGGATTTTTGTTGATAAAGCACATGGACTCCGTATTAGCAAACAGAATAGATGTAATGATGCCATACGCAATTTGGGAAGATCTTCAGTGCATAGTCAAATAAGGCAGCGGAGATGAAAGACACTCGTGAGTGGAGTTGAAGTTCAGAGAGATAAAAAGAGGCCTAAGAGCCTTAAAGTGGGGCTAATTGAAATTTTTCCCTTTAAAGGAACAAGTTGGGACATGATGTTTTCTTTTATCCTTTCTCTTCTCTGAGTACGTGCTGAGAGACCCTGCATTCCCACGTGTTCCCAAATAGCGATAATACGCTGGTGGGGTGGGAGAAAGGTGCTCGGATGATTGCTACGGTTTCTGAACATACTCTTTGTAGCGAGGATCTGTTCTCCTCCCTGGCTTCCTCTCAGTCCCGTTAATCTCCGTGCTTAACTTTTAATCAAAAAAGAGGACATCGATATGTAGCATTTTGAACTACCTGGCCAGATCCGTTTTATTTCCAGAACATATCTTATTGTGCATAAAAAAAAAAAGAACTTTCTTTTTTCATTGGTTCCACATAGCCACCTGCTGGATTATTTTGCCTGTCACCCACTCTGAGGGCTAGGGCCATCAATCAATGTTGGATGGATCCAGGACACTGGGACCTATGCAGTGATGGAGAGAAATATTAGGAAAATGGCCGTGGAGCCAATAATGCAAGTGAACTGTATTTCACAAAGCTGTGATTGCTCAAGGCTGTTGGTTTTCTAAAGAAATCCCTCTCTTGGATGTGCCTGAGCTGTAGTTTTCTCTTCATTACACGCCATACCTGGCTGACCATGTTTAACACTGGAGTTAAAAACCCCAGGTACCAGCTTTCCAGCTAATCTGGCAGCTGGCCTTTAAGAGAAGGAGTCTTTCTCTGAGATTTTAGCCCGTAGAGAGATTTTGTTGTTTGTTGTGCTGTAACCATAGATAGGCAATTGCCAAGAGGTTTGGTTATTCTAGAAAGTTCCATTCTTTCTGTGTGGAAAGAACAGCAAAATAGACTCTGTGATCAGGGGGTTGTTGAAAAAAAAAATTCTGTCTCCTGAATGATCAACATCTTGTTTCCCTTGAAGTTACTGAGGTGATGGTGTGATGAGTAGCGAGTGCCATGACCGTAGACAGCAGGAGCCCCTGGTAGCCCTTCGAATCTAAGGTGGTTCCAGGCAGATCTGAACACACCTAGAACGAGCAGTGTGGTTCCTTTCCAAAGGACAGGCAAGCCTCCTATAAGATTCGTTTAAACGAAAGTTACTCAAACCTTTAAAAATCACTAGATGTGTAGACGAAGAATCATTTAGGGAAGTCACTTGGTAGATCCAAGGTTTTACATTGTGGCTTGGTAAGGAATCAGTTCAGTTTGTAAACCACCTCAATAAGGAGAGGAGAGCAGAACAGAGCAGGCAGCTGTTAGGGGCATTAGCAGTGTTTAGTGACGTTTCTTTCTCGTTACTGCTGTCAGTTGTCAAGGTTAGAGAAAGAAGATTGAACATGTTTCCGCTATTATTTCACTGCTATCATGCAATTCTGGGCTAGATGCAGAGAAAGGAAAGTGTTTGTCCTCATACAAACTTACATCATAAAAATCAGAGATAGTCCGTTAAAACCCTTTCAACTCTAGCCTTCACACAGCCACTGAGTTCACATAGTTTTCTGTGGAGCACACTTTAAAATTCCTGCTTATAAAATGCCTGCAACAGGTCGGTATTGAGCCTGTGACGGCGCCCTGCCTTGGGTTCAAGGCTTGCCCTTTAGTAGCTGCTTCTCTCTGTCTCGGGGTCCTTGTGGTTTAACCGGTACCTTAGCTAGCTAGCACCGGTGCAGATCTGAATGTACACGTGACTGACAGAGGGCACAGAGACAGCTCTCACAGAACAGAACAACAAAACTCCAAAGCCTTAGAAAAAACCTTTGCCTGCCTTTTCGGAATTTGAAGGGCAAATTGCTTATCGCCAGGGTAGAGATTAGATTTAGCCGAGCTGTTCCTGAGTCCTGCAACTTGTGTGGTGTGTAAATACTGAGTTCTTTTAAAATGGCCTATTAGGAAGGGCAGAGCAGTCAGCCAGCCAAGACTCTGCTCCACCTCCCAGAAAACACCAGTGACTTCATGGCCAGGGTGCCAAGGACAGCCTCAGCTCTCGGGCCTCTGAAGAAATGTTTGTTTTTGTATTTGTGAGTTATGCATTTTATGGGAGGAATGTCCTTGCAGGTTTTCTCTCTCCCTTTTCTTTCCTCCCTTCCTTGACTGCTATAAGGTTGGACCTTCCCGAGTCTCTCTCATTTCCTCAGTAGCACAGTGGGTGAACTTTTAAGAAGGTTTGTAGTTCCGTTTGTCTAGATCGGAAGCGGTAGATGTAGGTAGTAGCATCCTAAACTTAGATGCGACTTCAGTGTTGGTGGCATCAGAATGTTTTCCACGTGGAGCCTGGTACCTTTTGACTGTGAGTTTGCATGGTGAAGGGGCATGCTTTGGGGAATGCTGGGTGGTGCCTTGCAGTATATTACAGAGTAGTTTTTATAATATTATTAATCTCCCTGATGAGTGTGTTTCATGCTTCTCCATAGTCTTTAAAATATTTCAACATAGATCTCACCCATTGCAGATGGCTTGTTAACTTCTGTCACTGAGTTGTGCTTTGAGAATGTTCTCACAATGTTTTCAGTGAGTAAAATGTGACTGTGGGCAGGAGATCACTGAGAAGAGGCAATGTAGCGTTCGATGTTCAAATAATAATGATAGCAATGACAAAGGCCTGAGAACTCCCCCCCCCCCATCCTCAGCCAGTGGCCTCTTCCTGCTTACTCTTTGATAAATGGCCTGTGTGAGACAGGCTGCTCGATGAGTGGACTCTGCTGC